TCATTATCCTCCCTTGTATTTATCCATATGTTGTAGTTATCCTAATCATTATAGGATTAGGATAATCATCCCCTTTATTTGTAGCAATCCTTATCTCCTAAGGAATATGCTTTATTCTCTTGTATGTATATATATATGTGTAACCACGTGATTAATAATACAATGAGAGTTACAACCTTCTTCTTTATTCTTTAACATAAATAGAGTTTTTAAATAGTAGAATTACATGATATAATCAAATGTATAAAGTTTTTTTTTGAAAAAATGAGATTTAATGACCCAAATCGATGTTTTAATGTTCCATACTCTCAGAAGAGCGCGTGAACCCCCAACATCAGCAATTTCGTAGTAACCTATCCATCAAAATTACACGATTTGAGATTTCTCGTTTTTCTCTTAAAAAATGAGACGCGTCCCTTTGGCTTTTCTCATTCATTAATTAATATATAACGTCTGATCCATACCGAAATCAATTTCCTGGCAATCTAAACCGGTCTATTAACGTACCGATTCCAACCCGGTTCAACCTCTTTTGTACAAGAATAATCGTAAAAACCGGCGAAGAAGAAGGAACCATCCATGGAGATCGGGGAAGAAGAGATGCGAATCAGTCATAAACACCTTCCTTCCTTCCTCAACCTCCATCGCTGCTTCATCACTCCTCAAGCTCGCTTCCTCCTTCGCAAATGGTTTGCTTTTACCGGTTTACCGAAAAGTTTAAAGAAAGATGAATTCAGACCTAAAGATTTCAACTTTGGCTCGGATTCGGATGAGACATTAGAGGGAGGGAGAATGGGTTAGTGTAGTTCGGACAAGGTCGTATAAAGAATCAGTTTCTCTTGCGTTTGATGAGCGACCATGTTGTAGTAGTTGAAGCAGAGATACGTTCAAAAGATGCTGCTTTCTCATGTTCCATGAGATTGAAAGGTGAAGACTTTCTTGTGAATTTCGACACGACGGCTCTTGTTTCTGGGATTGCTAATGGATGGATGTGCAGAGAGGATCTTGGACATGGGTGTTAGAGGAAAAGTTTTTAAAATACTGTTGTTTTCGTTATTGCTCAGCTACTTATCGTTGGAGTCTTATCTTATAGTATATATCAAAAACATTTAACTTTTTTTGTGGAATTGATATAAGCAGGCTAGATCTCAAGTGTTGAGAACTCGGTTCTTGTAAGAATGAGAGATGTGTTGTCAGTCAGGGAAGCGAGGGATTGTGTGTCAGAGTGTTGTTCAAGGAGTTAGTGTCCATGTATGGTGGAGCCAATGAGAAGCACAGAGCTGAGCACTTGTTGAAGACCCTAATGTATATTTGTGTATATATATTGTGATTTGTGATTTGTGACAGGCTGGTGAATGACAATCCCACGGAGCGTGTGAGTGTGATGGGACTCCCAACTACTAGCAAGTTAGCAATGAAGAACAAGATTGTGTTTGGGACAGGTGATAGGTGGGGAGCTCCTACGTTGACTGCTAACATGGGGGGGTTTGTTAGAGCCGTAGCTCAGTCTGGCATGTCTCTCCCTACCATTCACCATAGCCCTCCTGCTCTCACTGGTGATTAGCCAAAGTTCAACTACTTATTCTGTAATTTACTTTAGGTCAAGTTCGTTCAAAAGACCAAACCTTGTGTTAGGGGAAACCCAATAAAAACAGAACCTGGTATTTTACTTCTATCTGGTCTAGTTCTGGACCAGCAAAAAGACCTTATCAAGGCAGTTACCCAATGGTTATGTTGGTTTCGTTGGTAATGATTTCACTGCGCATAACCCGTTCCGAAGTTATTGTACTAAATATTTGCCTACATGGAGCTGAATGTTTGTATGATGGTTTAGCATTACCATTCCTTTAAGCAACGTGAGAGAGAGACGTGCTCTCTTCATGGTTCATAGTCTTTCTTGAAACATATATAATAATAATAATGGCAAAAAATATATGAATTTATGATTAATCAATAGAAAAACACTTGACTTTTTCTAAAATTTCAAAGAGAATTGATTTTTTAGGTGAATGATATGAAAATATTTTTTTACACAACAAATCCTTGAGACTTGTCTGCTTCAACTCAGATAATAATCCGACCTTAGTTTACATCCCATGTGACAAAAAAACGTAATTTAACTTGTTGGATAGTGAAGAATAAATAAAACGTCATCTTACATATATCATGTGCAGAGAAATAAACCATGGAAGGTTGCGATTTGACAAAAACACCCTCAAATCATTGTATGCAGAGTTTTTTCAGATAAAGTACAGATCAAAAACCACCTCTAGAAATCTAGCAATAGATCTCAACGCTAAAGAAGAAGAATTCCCTCGTATGGGTCCCATGAGATCCAACACAACAATGTCTCAGAACTTGGCAGAACTTGGCACGTGGCGTTTGTTCTTAAAGATTGTCCTTACAGAATCATTATCTCCCCACTGTACTATCTCTATCTGGCCTTTATACTCCTGTCGCTTTCTGTTTGTACCAAAAGAAGTAAAGAACCTTTTCTCTCAATCTCTCACCTCCTTAGTCATATTCCTTCTACTTCCATTAATCAGGTTTCGATCTTCTTCTTCTTCAACTTCTGATTCGCCCACAAGCTTTCTTTCTTGTACGGTTTTATTTTCTCTGATCCTCCCTATATTGTTGGAATATATCAAAAAGGTGTAACAGAAAATGAACTAATGTTCCTGCTTTTTGTAATCTTAAATATTTCTAGTATTATGTTTAGCGTCATTATACTATTAGAGTTGGTATTATAAAATCCTACTTTATGCTCCTCTGTATCTATTAATCATAAGTTATGATTAGCTCTGTTCACTTACATATCTCATTTGTGGTTGATAAAATCATTCTTTTGACATATCTAGATCGGACATGACCAAGGTTGGAATTTTGAGGAGGATTACAATTTGTCCAATAATAGAAGATCTATAAGGTATATTATGTTTTGTATTTCCTTTTCGAGGAAAAAAATTATAGAATAGTATCTGAGTCTAACTAGTAGAAAGAAACCACAAGCCCAAACTGAGAAACATGATCATCAGCAAGAAACCCTAAGATCCAATACCTTTCTTGATGATCAAGAAACCATCTCTTGGTTACAGTACCCTCCAGATGAAGACCCATTCATACACGGAGATCTCTCCTCCCATTCCTTCTCAACCGGAAATCCCCTAGAGAGGTCATCCTCAGAGATGGTTAAGCATGAAGCCGGTCCTGATCAAGTGATGCCTCCTCCTAAGTTTAGGTTAACGGATCCATCATCAGGAGTCAAGGAACAATACTTGGTGATGACCGTTGGACCGAGCCATTGCGGGAGCAACCAATCTCATAACAATCTTGATGTCTCAGTGAGTCATGATCGCAGCAAAACTATCGATGAAAGGCTTTACCTGAACGCAAGTTCATCATCCCGTGGCTCCTCTGGTTACAGCTTTGGCAAGACCATCAAAGAAATGCTAGGGGTCGAAGCATTACAACAGACCGTTAGTAAAGAATATAATGGACACTGATGAATATGTATCTCAATCACATGTATGGTTTTAGTTTATAAACTCATGATGATTAACTTCTTGAAACGTTTTTTTTTGGTACATTTCTCTCATAGTTCTTGAAACGTTTCACAGGCTATTGGTAACAAATTGAACCAACAACCAGGATCAACGCGAAGGAGTCATGCAGCTGATGTTCACAATCTCTCCGAAAGGGTACTTCATCGGTTCGTCGATATATAATTTTATACTATGATTTATACAGTTTAATAAATGCTAGATTATGTATTTGTACAAAGAGAAGAGATATAAAATTCTGTTTTTGTTAATTAAAATATAGAGGAGGAGAGATAGGATCAATGAGACAATGAAGGCTTTGCAAGACCTAATACCTCACTGCAGCAAAGTAAGCTACAAAATAAAATCTGGTGTTAATTGATCAAATTCAAAAGTTGGTCTTAATTTGATTTGTGTTATAATATTTTTTGCAGACTGATAAAGCATCAATTCTAGACGAAGCCATAGATTACATGAAGTCACTTAAGTTACAACTTCAAGTTATGCGGATGAGGAGCGGAATGGTTGCTTCGGTGGCTCCGATGATGTTCCCCGGCGTACAGTCTCATCCGTTCATCCATCAGATGCAGAGTCCGGTACAGTTGCCTCGATTTCCGGTTATGAACAATCTCAGTTTAGCTTGTCAGAACCCGGTACAACACCAAGTTTTCTCCGATCGGTTTGATAGATACATAGGCATATTACCACAGACGCAGGCCCTATCTTTTTTTGATCAAACATTGTGTAAACAGTTTACTCGAGTGTTATATGACATGGTTTATCCGAGTACTAACGTTGTCGACTAGTGCTAAACAACTTATTCCAGTCGATAAGAGTTACACAGTAATACGACGACGTAATATTATATGACACGTTGTGGTTTGATATTAAAGCAGCCGATGGAGATGCTGAGATTTGGTAAATCAAATTAGTCAACAACCGTCTGCGCAGACTGAGACAACCGACGGTCCTCGATAGGGCAATACAAATGTTATTTTCTGTATATGCGAGTCTATGTACGTTTAAATTTTATGTCAAAATGACATGAGCTTTTTGTAATTGCGTAGAACCTTTAAAATTAAAAGCAAAATACATGTTTGGTATGTGGTTTGTTATCTGATAAAATCAAAATATAAATCGTAACTATGGATTTTTCTAAATAGTTGAAAGTACTTTCCATTACCTCATATCATACCCGTAGAGTTGTTTTCTTGATAACTATATCATTATATCATACATTTCGTTTTTGATCAAAGAAACTATACCTATGGACTAGGATTCCATTAATTTTGCTCTGTGTTTCCCTCAGAAACACAAGGATTATCAAATGCATACTTATGATTATTAATCAAACACAAGCTATGCTTTATGATCAAAACATTACCAAAGACAAGCTCGTCTAAGAAGTACATAGAGATAGAGATCTGGTCGGAGTTTGATAAACTATTAATCTTGTATGATCAATGATGTCATATTGTCCGATGAATATGGTTTTATTTTATTTTTGCCAATTGTTTAATTAATTATATAGGGATGAAAAAGGCAAGTCACATGTGAAGGATCAGATTTCAATGAATGTCATCTGTCATTTATCGACATTTTAGGATTTTAGTCATGTGCTCCACTCCACGGGTAAGAATCCATTTTAGCAATAATTGAGTAAAATATCTTAGATATTTTCTTGTGCATTGTTTATTTGAGAAAATGTTAGCTGAATAAATCACATTGTTGTTTGATATGTTTTCTGAACTATATTAGTTTGATATGTTTTCTGAACTATATTAGTTTGATATGTTCACCCATCTCGTTTTCCCATAGAGTGCACAAATCAAACGTAAAAGTATGTAATCACAAGAACAAACTGCGGGTTTGGTAATTTTGAAATAATCTAACCCTTCTTGTTCCAACTTCCAAGACCAGAAGTTGTCCAAGATCGTCTTTACCTTAATTTAACTGTGAGTCTGTGATCTATTGACTTTTTGTTCTAGGAAGAAAAAGACACTGTTCACCATATGGATAAAGAAAATGGTATGCTTTACAAATATGAGTTTAATTGTCATAGCACACATGCGAATTATACGATTTGGATAGGATTGAACGTTTGTATAACGGTGACTTTTCACACTATACCGTCACTTATTTACCCCTTTGGTAACATGCATCCATTGACATCTTCTACAAACCCCAACTGTACCATGCATTTGTGTTTTGTATTCATTACAAGCGCAAATTAAATACACGATGTGCACTGGAAATTAACTTTTCATATGTTGACTTTCATTTTAAAAAAAATCTTTGTGGCCCTGTCCGGTGTATATATTAGCAATTTAGCAGTGATTACTATGACGCAGACACACTGATTTGTAGGTATTTTCTCCATTTCATATTCAATGACGTTCGATAGAAAGTCACATATTAGAGGATATAGCAACTGTTTCGATATATTTGTATCATGATGTTTTTGAAGTTATAAACAGAGGTCAAAACATTCAACGTGGACATATTTATTGTAAAAGTTTTGTATTCAATTGTAACCAAAATCATAACCACCAACATCGTATTAAATCATTTAGAAGCGTCTAGAGAATTGCCTTTGTATTTTTTCCTTTTCATATTGAAATATTCCAGCATTAGAAAATGTTTATTATTTGTACGATTCAAACGAAAAGCTGACGTTTTCTCACTTTTGAATTCGAACGTATTGTTTCACTACACGTCAGCCTTTCTGGACCACTTTGATCAATAAGCTGAGTGACTTATCAAACGTGCCAAAAAGAGATACGCAATCTTTTATTTTCTTTTCAACTTCCGAACTTTAAAAAAGATTTGTTTTTTTTAACACAAAAAGATTAATTAACGGCTGTAAAAACAACATAATTGATATTGGTCGGTGCCTATATTAGAATTCTTTTGGCCTTAATTAATTAATTCTAAATAATCCACCATAATTCAACATCATATTTGATGCAAAAGAAAATTCAACATTTTATTTCACCATCCTCGTTATATTGCATGCATTGATTAAATAAATTATGTATTCATTTTCGACATATTTATTAGTCTAAGTTTATAATAACTAGTCTAATGAAACAACACGCTATCATCCAAACCACAAATCCTCACATTAAACCGGGTTAACCAAATAATTTATCTATTTTCTTCGTCAAAAAGTAAAGAAAACTACTATATAATAATTAATTCTAAATAACATATAATTTTTTTCCAAACAACTCACTAATAATTATCATAACATTTAACTATAATACCATTTTTAATATTCAAGACGATAACATATCATATAATGCCAGTAATATATTAGTATTACTTTATAGTTTATATGTAAGATGACTAATTTGTTTAAAAAAATAAAAATGTAAGATGACTAATTGTAGTAGCACTAATTAGCAACCAACTGGTTAAAGTTAATTTTATTCTAATTTTAATTCAGTTCAAGATATGGATCCGTTCAACCGCGGATGTAAATTTTCATTTTAATTTACATACAGATTTTGTTTATATTGAGAGAATAGTGTATATTGAATTGTGTTTATGGATTTTTCAAACATAGTATAAGATTCACTTTTCTTGAATTTATCAAATTAATCATTTCAACATGTAACATGTGCTTGTATTTTCTTTTACATATTTTTTTGCTTGAATCAGTGTTTAATTATTTATTACACTGCTGATCTTTTGAAATCTCGTTTGGTTAAATATAAAATTATTACCATTTACAAAACTTTTAATATTAAAAAAATAAAAATTAGACTTATATCTCTTATATTATAATTATAAAGTAATTAATTAAACATTGAGTATTTGTTTATTTTTATAAAGTACTTAATTAGCAACCAACTGGTTAAAGTTAATTTTATTCTAATTTTTAATTAATATATAGATATATGATATATCAGTTTTGAACAAGAAAAAACATAGTGTTGTTTTTTTGTCGAAAACATGGATAAGCAATCAGAAAATTAAGGATCATATTTTTAATTAATATTATATTGTATCATATTATATTGTTGATAAATATTAAATTTAAAGGGAAATTGGGCTCTTTAGCCATACAAAAACTTTTAATTGGGCCAGTAGCTACAAACCCTAACGGAATGCCTCACCCCGTTACTTTTATATATATTTACAATATTCTCCCCCTAAACAACCGTCTTCACCGGCTCAAATTGTCAAAAAAAAAATTCTTTAATTATTCAATTGGTTAAACCTCCTACATCGTGTCTTAACCCTCTCCACCAATTGTTTCACGAATCCCACTTCCTTCTCTGGACATCGAAACCCGACAACTTCATCCCTAGAAAGCTTTCGTTTTCTTCTCCCCCAAAATCACAGCAACTCTCTCCGTCGCCGTTCTCCGCCGTCCCGTAAATCGTCGGTGTCCTCATCTTCCCCATCTCCTCCGGTACTTCAATTGAAACTTCCTCCGGTACTTCTGTCTCCACTCCGCATCCTCAAAATGTAAGTTATCTCCCCTTTTCTTCGGAATCCTCATAATGTCAACTCTTTTCCTAATTTGTAGTCCGAATTGATGTGTTCTCCTTTTCTTAAATCTAAATCCATCATCCTGATTTTGCGGCGCTGTTACTCATCATCTCGTCTAATTTTAAAACTGTAACAAACCTTTGAATTCAAGCTTTAGTATCATGTTCCTCCTTCTCCCCTGTCTTGCCATTTGCATGTAAATTCTATAGTTTTCAAAATTAGATCCATACGTTTTTGGTCCATTCCAATCACAATGGAATAGAAAATCCAGATTTGGGATGTTTTCTATGTTATTTAGGGTTTCATCTACACTTGGGCATTCCATTCCATTTGATGTGGAGTTTACATCAAAAGCTGGGGTTTCGATTTGCGTTTTCTGGTTTAGATTTTCGTTAAGGGTTAAGTTATTTGTGATTAGGGTATAGTGTTAAGTGGGTCTGTGGGTTTAGGGTTAACTTATTGGAGATTAGGGTATAGTATCTAAATAAATATATATTCCATTCCATTTACATAGAATGGAATAAATTTCTATACCATTCCGGATGGATTGGATTGAAGCTATATGTTACATAGAAGGGATTGTATATATATCGGTGATTGGGGTCTACTATCCAAATAATATGTTAATTTAACTAGTAAGTACTATCTTATATATTTTCCCATTGCATGTGATGTACCGTTATATGATTGCATATATATCATAGGTTGTGTTTGTATATATATCATAGGTTGTGTTTCACTCCACCTATTGTCTCCATTATTTCCTCTTCTGTGAAATCGCTTGTATGTAACACTTTAGGATTCAGTTTACATAGACTTCCATACTTGTTCTTGTTCTTTTGTGAAATCGCTTGTATTTCCTCTTCATGATTTTTAGTGTTTATATTTGACTATATGGGTTATATTTGGTTTAGGGATTACTTATTCAAGTTTAGTTTTTTCTATTTACAGTTATAACTGGGATCAAAATTAACATAATAATTGTACGCAGAAATTTAGGATAATTCCATATCATTGCGTACTATGTTATTGATTATGTTCCATTCCATTTGATGTAGTGTTTACCTGATGTGTTTGGTTTACATTTGGGTTGATGGTTTATATTTTGGTTAAGGGTTAACATTATGGTTTAATATTTAGTGTTTGTATTATTCCATACAGTTGACATTTTGGTTAATATACGTGATAAAGAACACTGAATTTACTATATATAAACTGTTTGTTCGATCGGATACAGACTCCATTCCATTTGAATGGTTTACTATTCTGAATGGAATGGAACGTATGTATTATTTTCAATGGAATGGATGGGATGGAACTTCCATAGTATCCATTCACGGTTATTCGATTCCATATGGATTGGTCTAGTATATTATACGTCCAGCCTGCTTAGCTATCCCATCATTTTTACTTTGATTACATCATTGTATATCTACTTTATACTAACTATCTTCCCCTCGTTTTTTTTTATGTTAGGTCTGACATGGACGATTTGGGCCTTCCATTGAGACGTCATATCTGTTCCCGGACGTCATCATGATTGTAGATGGTTATTCTACTGTCTACTAATCCAACTTGTAATACGAATAAAATTTGATATGGTAAACAAAAAACGTTTGGAATAGATGCAACAATATAGCATGGCACATGTACCATAGTGGATAGTATAAGCATTTGTATGGAATAGTTAAACAATGGAATGGAAATTATATTTCATTACCTTTTGTTCCTTTTGTTTAGTGATTCACTAGATTACCTGTGCAGAGTTAAATTATATTTACTAACCCTAACAATTTACGTGGCTTCCTCCCCTTCCTTTATATGGAATAGCTGTTTCCCAGTATTTGACATTAATTCCATGGAGACGTCATATCTGTTCCCTGACGTCATCATGATTGTAGTTAGTTACTCTACTATCTACTAATCCAACTATTAAAAGGAATATAATTTGATATTGTAAACAAAAAAGTTATGGAATAGATGGAACGATATAGCATGGCACATGTAACATAGTGGATAATATACTCATTTGTATGGAATAGTTAAACAATGGAATGGAATTAATAACCAATGGATTGGGGTTTATATTTTCTTAATTTTTGTTTAGAGTTTAGCGTCCATACCCTTTTAATTGACAATTTATGGGGTTATACGAAAGTATGAGATTAAGGTCAGAAAATGAAAAGATTATCATAAGGAAGGGGTTAATCGGCAATGGATTGGGGTTTATATTTTCTTAATATTTGTTTTGTGATTAGAGTCCACAACAATTTATGGGGTTTATACGAAAGTATGAGATTAAGGTGAGCAAATGAAAAAGATTATCATAAGGAAGGGGTTAATTGGCACTGGATTGGGGTTTATATTTTCTTAATATTTGTTTACTGATTAGCGTCCATAGCATTTTAAATGCGGTTTATATTTTGTTAGCATTTTAACATAAGAAAGGGGTTAATCGCCAAAGTATTAGGGTTTATATTTTCTTAATTTTGTTTAGTGTTTAGCCTCCATACCCTTTTAATTGACAATTTATGGGGTTTATACAAAAGTATAAGATTAAGATGAGCAAATGAAAAAGATTATCATAAGGAAGGGGTTAATTGGCAATGGATTGGGGTTTATATTTTCTTAATATTTGTTTACTATTAGCGTCCATAGCATTTTAAATGCGGTTTATATTTTCTTAGCATTTTAACATAAGAAAGGGTTAATCGCCAAAGTATTAGGGTTTATATTTTCTTAATTTTGTTTAGTGTTTAGCCTCCATACCCTTTTAATTGACAATTTATGGGGTTTATATGAAAGTATGAGATTAAGGTGAGAAAATGAAAAAGATTATCATAAGGAAGGGGTTAATCGGCAATGGATTGAGGTTTATATTTTCTTAATATTTGTTTAGTGATTAGTGCCCCATTTTCGTGTTTATATTTACTAGTGTTTATATTTTCTTAATTGTTGTTAGTTATTTTCTTAATTGTCTTTTAAATTTCAATTTATGGGGTTTATACAAAAAAGTAAATGGGGCACTAAAAGAAAGAGTTTAAGGTAAAAAAAATAAAAAGATTAACCTAATTCTTAACCTACCTACTAATTCTGTATGTGGTAAGCCTAGTTAATTGATAACGGAATGGAACATATGAATATAAAAACGGAATGGAAGGGATGAGCTATGTAGAATGGAACAGAAATAGTTATCTTGTTCCTCTATGCGATTCATACGTCTGGTGATTTAACTCACCTACAATTAACGAACACGTCATTTAGTTGTATACCATGTAACTGGATACCTGCTAGTGAGAAGGGTAATACCAGATAAAAAAGTGGCTAAATGTCAAATACTACATTAAGTCAACATCAATGTTATATACTTAACATATATGCCAAATGTGGCTACTGAGCTAATAAGCCCAAATTTAAAACCGATAAATATTTTTTTAAAAATCAAAGTTACTTTCCCATTATAAAAGCAAATTAAAAGCATAGGTTACCCTCTCTTTTTTGTATATAAAGCACCAACCTACTTTTCTCGACTTCAGGAACTCGAAGCCAACCAAATCTGCGACTCCTTTTTTTTTTTCTCTCTCTCTAGAAGCCTCTGTTTTTCTTCTCTCTCTAAAACTTTCTCTCTCTTTCTCATCTCTGCGATTTGATAATCATTTCGCTTGAATTACGCGTCCGATCTCTCCGATCATCACCGATCTACGTTCATACTGATCGGTCTGATCAGGCAGAGTGAAAACAAAAAAAAAAACAGAATCAGGAGAAAGAGAGAATTGAGAAGAAAAGAGAAATCGCATGAATTTGTTTGGAAGTCTGATCTTTTCATCGTCGATATCGAGCCACTTTACAACTTGTCTTCTTATCTTCATCCTTCATTTTTCTCCTCAGCTTCCTTCTAATAGTAATAATAATAGTAATTGTAATTCTAATCGTTTGATTAATTGAAAAAAAAATCATGGAGTCGAGAAAAAACTCTGATCGTCAAATCCGTAGAGGTATTGTATTTTTTTCACTTTCATCAATCATTTTTTTTTTTTTTTTGCGTTATATATGTGTGTGTCGGAAAATATGACGAAACTAGTTGGGTTCTGTAATAAAAAGGTTGGCTTCTGTAATAAAAATTAAAGTTTTTTTTGTGTTGGGTCATCCCTCGTGTTAATTTCTCTGTCGGTGATTTGATTCCTTTGTGTCGTCTTTTTGTTTTTGGCTCTATTTGTTGAGTACCACGAGATTTTATTTTATGGTTGTTTAACTCTATTTTCTGGGAATCTTTTGATTATGTTTGGTGTATCCTCAAAGGTCATGTCGTAATAAGAATTGTAACACGTTTTTCTTTTTGCTTAAAAAAAATATCTTTAATTTATTGGAATTGAATGATCGTTGATTCTTCCTTGTTTCAAATATTATCACAGGTAATTGCTTTTCAGCTAGTGGAAGGATGAAGACAAGATCACCTTCTGTGATAGTGATTGGAGGTGGTTTTGGTGGAATCTCTGCTGCTCGCACTCTTCAAGATGCTTCCTTTCAGGTCTGTATATGCCCTTGGAAACTTTTTTTATGTTCTTATGAATCTCCTTTAGAACTATATTGCAGCTTGGATTCATGTTTTCTCACGTCTGTGTGGTTTTTTTTTTTTTTTTTTTTAAGGTTGTGGTACTGGAGTCCCGTGATAGGATTGGTGGAAGAGTTCACACTGATTACTCCTTCGGTTTCCCTGTTGATCTTGGTGCATCTTGGTAAATATCATCCATCTCTTTTTTTTTATCTTTTTGAGTTCTTGATTACCTTTTGCTAATGCTGGAGCATTTTGTTGCAGGCTGCATGGAGTGTGCAAGGAGAATCCTCTGGCACCAGTAATTGGGAGACTCGGATTGCCCTTGTATCGTACTAGTGGTGACAATTCCGTCTTGTATGATCATGATCTTGAGAGGTGTGTATAACAATTTTAATATGCCTAATCTTAATCATCTATTTCTTATTTATTCTTTTTTTTTGGCATAATACTTTGTTTCTGTAGCTATGCTCTGTTTGATATGGATGGCAAACAAGTTCCTCAAGAGTTGGTAACTGAGGTTGGCGTAACGTTTGAGCAGATTTTGGAAGAGGTATGTGTCTCTCACATTCATTTTGTGTTAGTCTTTGTTTTACGCTCATCCTAACTAGGTTCTTCTTTTGGCAAATGCAGATTAATAAAGTCAGGGATGAGCAGGATGCAGACATGTCAATCTCTCAGGCTTTCTCAATTGTGTTTTCAAGGAAACCTGAGTTGAGGTTAGAGGGGCTTGCACACAATGTACTTCAATGGTATTTGTGCCGCATGGAAGGATGGTTTGCAGCCGATGCTGAAACCATCTCTGCAAAAAATTGGGACCAGGTTCGTTACATTCTTTCTCTTCTAAGTAAAAACAATTTGTAAGTACACACCGTTTCTTAATGATCTGTTTAACATCCCGAAACACGTGCAGGAGGAGTTGCTACCTGGTGGGCATGGTCTCATGGTTAGAGGGTATCGTCCTGTCATCAACACCTTAGCCAAAGGGATTGATATTCGACTAGGCCATAGGTAAGCTTTTGCGCTTTTCAAGTGTTTTTAGCATGTTTTTAGAGAAATACTTTAAAATAATCATAAAAAGTTTATATCACAAAAATAGTTTCCCAATAGAAAAAAGAGAGTAAAAAAACACATACCTATAGGGTTAATTGATTTAAAATTAGAATTTTGCTTTTAGGATGGGGTTGAATTATAGTTTAGAGTCTAGAATTAATAATTTAAAATATAAAATTTCGAATATTTTATTTTAAATAATTATTTGAATATTCAATGTATTATTCAATAATAGTATCTTAATGTTTTCATTTTTGATATTTTTTTTTGGTTATTTCTTCTTTGTGGGCTATTTTGATCATAAAATCTTTTGTGTCTTTTTAGGAGATGTACCTTTTTTTTAAGGTTGTTGTAGTCATAACCTCTTGTTCTTTTGCTTCTCAGGGTTACTAAGATCGTAAGACGATACAATGGAGTGAAGGTAACAACAGAAAACGGACAAACATTTGTTGCTGACGCTGCAGTAATCGCTGTTCCTCTCGGTGTCTTAAAATCCGGAACCATAACATTCGAACCAAAGCTACCAGAGTGGAAACAAGAAGCCATCAAAGACCTCGGTGTAGGAATAGAAAACAAGATCATACTCCACTTCGAAAAAGTCTTCTGGCCAAAAGTAGAGTTTCTAGGAGTGGTCGCAGAAACCTCCTACGGCTGCAGCTATTTTCTAAACCTCCACAAGGCCACAGGACATCCAGTTCTTGTCTACATGCCAGCCGGTCAGCTCGCCAAAGACATTGAGAAAATGTCTGATGAAGCAGCTGCGAATTTCGCCGTCTTGCAACTCCAGAGGATTCTTCCTGATGCTCTGCCTCCGGTGCAGTATCTAGTGTCGAGGTGGGGGTCTGATGTGAACTCGTTGGGATCTTATAGCTATGATATTGTGGGGAAGCCTCATGATTTGTATGAGAGGCTTAGGGTTCCAGTGGATAACTTATTCTTTGCTGGTGAAGCGACGAGCTCTAGCTTCCCTGGCTCGGTTCACGGGGCGTATTCAACTGGTTTGATGGCGGGTGAGGATTGTAGGATGCGTGTGTTGGAGAGGTATGGTGAGTTGGATTTGTTTCAGCCTGTGATGGGTGAAGAAGGACCTGCCTCTGTTCCTCTTCTTATATCTCGTCTTTAAAGTTGCTCACCATTATCAAAACCAGTCTCTGCATTATGTTGTGCTATATGTTTCTATCAAGCTACCAGCTACTAGAAAGAACCTGAAGTGATTTTGCATGTCTTGTTGGGAAAACTATTAGTATTCTCTAGTGTTGATCGTATAAAACTTTATTAGTGTTTTGTTCAATAATGTGAACATTATATCCTGGTGATATATATTTATATATGACAATCATCTTTGATGGGTGAAAGACCGCATCTATTTTTCTTTTCAAACACTGATTACAAATGAAATTTATTATGAGAATACGTTATAGTAATTTGTTTCAAAAAAAAAAGAATACGTTATAGTAATTATATGAAATTATATATTGGTTTTAATATAAATATTTAAAATTAGACATAGTAATTATGATACATAATTAGGATATGAATACATATCACCGTATAAAACATTTAAATTATTAATTAGTTGTTTTTTGTCGATAATTAGTTGTTATTTATCCGTTTCATGGATTTGATAACTTTAATGGTTTTTTATCTAATTTAGTAATTTTAATTTAGTAGTTTTATTTCCAATATATGAATCGTTTTTACTAAGATTTGATATTTCATAGTATAATAACATTAGGAATTATTTAATCAACCCGGATTTCAAATGTTTTACTATCTTGACAAAATAAAACACAGTGCTATCAAAGAAAACCAATTGCATGTAACTCACAATTTATGAAGAAGAAAACCAAGAACAAAATCTTTAGGGCCCAATGTTACAAATGTGAAAAGAATTGCTCTGTATTGTAGTTAACAATATTTAGGGGGTATAATGATAAATATCAAAAATTACCAAAATGGAGAAAGATAAGATAAGAGTAGAACACAGTTTAGTTTTAACCTCAGTGTCCATCTCTCCGACAATGGCGATGTCAATGGCTGCTGTTTCTTTCCCATCTCTACACCAGAAACAAACCTTATCCTCCTCACTCTTCACTCCCACCTTCCTCCCATCGAAAGCCTCTTCCTTTCTCACCAAACCATCTCCCAAACGAACCCTCACAATCTCCATGTCCATGGAAGCAGGAATCGGCGTGATGGCCTCAAAACTCGGCATGATGTCTTTCTTCGAACCAGACGGAACCGTAGTTCCCGTAACCGTAATCGGATTCCGCGAAGGCAACATCGTGACACAGCTCAAAACCCTCGCCACCGACGGATACGACGCCGTGCAAGTCGGTTACCGTCGCGTACGCGACAAGAAACTAACTAAACCGGAAACCGGTCATCTCCAAAAATCCGGTATAATCCCTCTTAGACATCTCCAGGAGTTTCGGTTAACTAACGTTGAAGGGTTCGAACCGAACCAGAAGTTGGTTTTTGACGAGATTTTTAAAGAAGGTGATCTTGTTGATGTGGCCGGGACCACGATAGGGAAAGGTAAACCATTGATTTTTTAGTTTCCATTACCTAACCATTGGTTTAGTGGTTTGGTTTATTTTTGCCTAAACCACTTTTGTACTTTTCTATTTCCAAAAAGTTGAATGTTTTAATTTTTCACATATACATATAATCATTTTTTTAGCTAACAAATTCTCATAATTTTTAATTAATAGAATTTAACACAATTAAACTTTTTGAAATTAATACAATTTATCATTAACTAATATATTAAAAATGTAAAAAAAATATTAGTTTGAAACAAATATTTTTTCTAGACTTATTTAAACAAAGAGAATATAAATAGAAAATCATTCTACATTTTTTTTTTTTTGGTCAAAAATCATTCTACATTTTATACGATTAATCAGAAATCTCATTTCATAATGTCTTCTTTCTTCAATAAAAGGGTTTCAGGGAGGGATCAAGAGGCATAATTTCAAAAGAGGGCAGATGACTCATGGTTCTAAGAGTCATCGAGCTTTGGGGTCGATTGGTGCGGGGACAACGCCTGGGAGGGTTTACAAAGGGAAGAAGATGCCTGGGAGGATGGGAGGGACGAGGACGAAGATTAGGAAGCTTAGGATTGTTAAGGTTGATAAGGAGCTTAATGTTGTGATGATTAAAGGTGCTTTGCCTGGTAAGCCTGGGAATTTACTCAGGATAACTCCGGCGAAGATTGTTGGTGTTAACATTCCCAAGAACTAGTGGAGACAAGAACTTAAATCAGTTATGTCTTTATCTTGTATGGGTTTTTGTCGGAAGATCACAACCATGTATGGAGTTTTGAGTTGAAAATTGAAATTGTAGAAATGCTAAAACATTGTTTTCTTGTTTGAGTTGAAAAATCACAAGCATGTATGGATTTTGAGTTTAAAAATGAATTGTTGAACTTCCAAGTCATTGTTACTTGTTTATGTCGGAAAATCACAATTACGTATTTTTAATTGGAATTTTAGAACTGCCTAGTCGTTGTTACTGGTTTATGTCGGAAAATCACTGTTACATGTCGGAAAATCACAATGGTTATCACAATGGTTTGGTTATGTCGGGAAAATATGAATAAGTGAACTTTTGATAAACTTAGTCCGAATTCCATTACTGTTTCTACGATCTTTCTGAATAAGCAACCAAAAGTGAACGATCACAAACCCAAAAACAAACAAACGTATGAGATAACACAGATGGGATAATACTAAGCCAGAATAGGTCACAAAAAGCTCTCTATCAAAATCCCATGATCATCCAGTTATAATTCCATAAGCTTCACATCCTCCACATGGTTCAGAAAGGTGTGAACATAAGGCCTCCTCCCACTCCCAAACGCTCCCACTTGGCTTACAACTCTTGTTACACTATCCTTGTCGAAATTGCAGTAGTAAACATGGAAAGGGTCAGATGAATATGTGGGCGACATAACAAATTCATTCGGACCAGTCCCTCCAACAATCTCTAAAATCTCATATCGACCAACTACATCTTTCCACATAGGGGGACATGTGTAACAACATTTGGACCATTCATGTCTTTCGGAGTCTTGTAGAACCCACATCTCAATACGTTTACTTCTGCCACTAACACTGCCCCTTTTTACTAAACCCAATTTACCGTTGCAGTCTAGCAGCCCCGGAAACCATATCTCTTTCGGTAACTTAACAAAGCTGTACTTCTCAGATCTAACATCAAAGCAAATTATTATCTTATCAAGAGCCTCATCTACAAAATCAGTGTAATAGACAACACCATTAATGCATATATTATGTCTATCCCCAGAAGGAGAGAAGGGTACGCCACCACGTTCAGTCATTCTCCATTTCCCTCCTCCTAATGTCAGCACTTGATGCTCTTTGCGGGTAATCCCCAATACCTTGTGTACTTTCTCAACGGGATCATACCCGAATAAACTTACCATCCCAGTCTTATTCTTTGTATTCATTCTTGGTAAAGTAAGTGACTGTCCCGTGCTAGGGTTACATATCACCGACTCCTCCACCATGCATTTCCTTCCTTTTTCGAACCGATTTCCTCTAGTACGGACGCAGACTAAGCCACCGACAGTTGTAGATATATTTTTGACAGTATGATCAAAGGAGAAACTAATGTAGTGATGATGATCGGAAGAAATATCATTAGGATGAGGGGAGGAGAGGAAGAATACTTTCTTATCTTCCATGTAAGCGAACAATAGACTTTGCGGACGAGCTTGAGACCTTTTCAGGAGGAGATTCCTGAAATCAGAATGGCCAAGTACTAAGGCCCAGTGCTTGGATACGCAACGACAGATCGCAATGGTCTTGAGGGATAACCTAGAGAAGATGTCCATCATGAGATCGAACGGGAGCAGCGGCGATGAGCGTTTTCGGTGTCTGCTGCTGGTTTTACGACCATTGCGCGGACGTGATTTCATGGTCACTTGAAGTTACCTGCCTATTAAGCAGCACACTTTGTTAAGCAAACACACATGATAGGTGGTGATAAAGCAATTCTTCAAAAATCAATATGAATAGAGCAATTAGAGAGTTAAACTTACTATGTAGTTGATAGAGAGAGAGAGAGAGAACAGAGGCTGCGAGGGTGTACAGAGACGACCTAGAAAAGAGTTGGCGACCAAGGAACCAGTGACACGGTTAAATACTCTGATCACATTCAAAATCTGATTAGCTATTGGGTCTATATCTAGGGCTTCGAATAAATAGTTAATGGGTCCGAGTCTAACGATCTATTTCTGTTGAAGTAAGGCCCAAACTTGAAGTTCAGATGATCAGGAGGAGTCTCCATCTCATGCATTATTAAAATGTCATTATTGGAGTTGTCAATTAAAAAATTTCAAATGTATATTTATATTTAATTTATTAGCCTATCAAAAACTTGAAAAATATGTTAGAGTCTCTCGTTTATATTTAATTTTGAAAGATTTTAGTTTATGATTTTGATGTGGATGGACTTATAGTATATGTGTTTAGAGAAAGGACTTACTATTTCATAAACTCCTAACGATTTACGAGAATTAAGGGGGGACAGCTAGAAATGTTAATAAGAATGTGATGAAGTTACACTTCCGTGCATCCACTGATCCACATGAAAGTCAATATGGACCAAGAGATTCTAAATACCAAATACTCAATAATTTAATTTGATTACTTGAAATTTTTACCTCAACGATCATCAAAAGCTTTTCAATTTTTCATCGCACGTAGGACAGAACAGTTCTGTATGAAAGTAAGTCCATCACAACTTCTACAACTAATAATTGAAAGTTCATTTTTTCTCTATTTAATAATATACACATTAGTTCAAAATTGGATTGACTTATAAAAAGAGAAGACCTCGCACACAAGTACGCAACGCATAATAGACATAACATTGACTCATGATACCGCACACTCATTTTACATTGTCCACCAATTATAGAATTGTCTTCTTCTATTTACATTTTGCCAAAAATATTTAGCAGCTTTCTATTGGACTTTTAGATAAATATATAAATGAGAAGAGTATTAAAGACTTTTGCATGCCCTGTTAAATGATATAGAACAAAAAGCGTTAGGTGGCATTTACACTTCTAAGATGACCTTCATTTTTCAAATCAATCAACTTCAAACTCTTATAACCAAGTTCTAATTTTCCTTATATTTTATTGGCTTGTTATTTGTTAACAAAAGTTTTGCTCTTGAAAGAAATTCTAAGTTTGGAACGGTGAAGCATTTTATTTGACTGCAATAATCTCAATTTATTAGAGAAATAAGGACCAGTTCTAGCATTCGAATAATTTGGCCAGCTTTAATTATATTTTGTTCCTGCTAAGAATATATTAGAATATTAACATTTTTACTTTCACATTATAATCAGCAGCTTTTACATTGTAAACCGAAATTTGTTATTCATGGAAAATTAATCAACTCAATCTATCCTTTTCACTCTCCTTTGGCATTGGCAAACACTTAAAAGCTTATTGTAAGGTCTCCATTGATTTGTCCCAGTTCAAAACCATCAAAGTTAGTTCTTACGTATAGTCAATCATCAAATCATATATCATATATTATTTATATCTATCGAAATATTCCACACATACTATATCTAATAAAGTAGCTATATATCTATTTATACACATAATATATAGGACAAAATGCGAACTAAATTAGTATTTGTTCTTCTATTTATAAATTAGTTGAACAAATTTGTAGTAGTATATATAAGCGCATTATTGCGTGAATTAGTTATGCATGCATTTATTAGACAAGACAATACTAATAGACTTACAAATTATAATTATTATAAATATATATAGATAGACGATGTCTCAAGTCATTAGTAAGCTCGATTGGAGATATATACTCCATGAGTTTAGTGGCATCCTTATCCATGCTTTATGGTTGATTAATGATTTACTAAGTAGTAAGAATAATATACATATGCAAACATTGTATTAAAAGCTAACTACTATAATTATATAAGGTATTGACTAACTTTAGGCTGAAACAAAGAGTGATCAAAACATTCACAAAGAGATTCAAGTGCATATTTCTCATATTATTTTGTGTCTTTTTACCATCATATGATGCACATAGTTCATGTACCTATATGAAAAGTTTTAAATTAACCATTAAGTTAAGTCAACAAATCTTTTAAGTTACAAAAAGAAGTTCCAAATTATTGAACACAAGTGTTATATTTGTTCCCGAGGCTGACAAGTGGGTGGGTAAAGTGACGTGTCGTTGAATCTTCTTTGATGATTATATAAGATGGATCCATTGTTTTCTGTCTATTTGTGATTGGCAGTACAAAACAAAATCATCTAATTAACAAGGCATGAACATTCGGTTTTTCCTTCCAAATAAATATTTCCATGCCTATAATTAACTATGAAACACTTGCAAAAAGAAAACATTTAAGCATATTTTAACTTTATCATCTATACGAAAGTTAAAATAAGCATATAATATATTAAAATTCTAGTATATGATTTTGTCCTTTTGCCATTTTACATTCTTAATTTTCTTGCAAGCTTTTTATCGACACATGTTTATACGAGTACCATGGAATATTTGTGTTATATAATTATTTTATAATGCTTATACATAAATAATACATCTTTGACCAAAAAAAAAATAAAAATAAATGGTTACATCATTATTAAAATCTAATTCATGAGATTTTTCCACAAAAACTCATGATGAATTGTTTGCAGACCGATCATGAGATATTAGGGATCTGTGATTATGTCTATGCAAAGTAACTTTTAGTTTTCTTCAAAGTTTTAAAGAACTGTTACAAATATTTCGTTTAGCGTGGTCGAGGATTGGTCCTAATCGTTTGTAAAAAGTTACTAACTAGTTATACGGGTTTTATAATGTTCCACTTTCTGTTCGTCAACAAATAAATGAATGTTAACCAAAAACATACAAATGAATTTAACTTAGTGTTCCACTTTCATGCATATAGATCAACTTTATCAAAATAGTTTGAATATATTAATTTATTTTAATTTCACAATAAAATAAAGGATATATATACATTGTTATACTATGTCGCAGCTCTATGATTAAAAAGCAGAAAATGATTGTGAATATTACGCACAGTCTGGCAATTTAAATCCCTTATACGGTTATAGTTCGTTGCTTCACTCTTAAGGTTTGCGTTTAAAGAACTAACTTCATACATATATAGAACACTAATGTACATCTAATCATACTTCTGTAAAATGTTACCTTGATATCCTCGATGTATATGTATTTAGTTCGTCTTTTAGACACAAAAGATAAGGTAAAGGTACTTGTGACTTCCTCTTTATCTACTACTATTTTAAACCAACAAATAAATAAATCCAAAAAGTATTTATTACTATGCTGGAGAACATTAGTTAATCAGTCATTACGAATAATATCCCTTATTAATAAAGACTAAGCTTGGTAAAACATCAAATGTTCAACTTTTGAGACACTAATTATCATATGGAAAAAGAGTAGGTTAGGACGTTAGGTACTGATTTATTATTCAACAAAAGCTAATAAGGATGCATTATAGTTATTTTTTGTTGTAAAATTGCATTATAGTTATTTCACTTATTTCGTATACATATATAGATTACAAGGTTTCGTGCGCGTTATTCATTGTGGTATATCATCTTGCTCGAAATTTAAGAGTCGTGTAGTAATAAGAAACAAAAACACCAAAATGTGAACATTACAATGTTAGTATATATATACACATGTATCATTAAGCTACAACTACTACAACAGCTCACAAATCATTTGAGTTTCATAACTATAATGGCTTCATCATCATCATCAACATCAAAGCATAGGGTTACCAAAACACTAATGATTTTACTCATCATAAACTTCTTACACCTATTTCAAACCACTTCAGCTGTGACTAACTCCAATTCCTACTCCCACTTCTCAAGATTCTCTAGACCATCATCAAGAACCAAACAAGGGTTCCTAGCATCGGTCCAAGAGAGTATGAAACATGCCCTCTTGGCTCGTTCTCTCGCTTTCAATCTCACTCTTTCTCATCGAACCGTACACCTCCACACGATCGATCCTATCCACGACTGCCTCGAGCTACTCGACGACACACTTGAAATGTTGTCTCGCATCACTTCAAGTGATGACGATGAAGACATTCACACATGGCTAAGCGCGACACTCACGAACCAAGAGACTTGTGAGCAAAGCCTCCAAGAAAAATCTAACTCTTACAAACACGGACTTGCAATAGATTTCGTCGCAAGAAACCTCTCCGGATTACTTACTAACTCACTTGAGTTGTTCGTATCCGTGAAGTCTAAACCCCGGAGGCTCTTGTCGGAACATAATGAGCGTTTTCCGAGGTTTGTTACTTCGGCGGAGGAGCGGAGGCTTCTAGAAGCTTCGGTGGAGGAGCTGAAGATTGATGCGGTGGTGGCTGCTGACGGAAGTGGGACACACAAAACAGTAGGAGAAGCGTTGTTGGCTTCTTCGTTGGCGAGTAGTGGGGGAAGGACCGTGATTCACTTGAAAGCTGGGACCTATAAGGAGAACATTAACATCCCGACGAAGCAGAAGAACGTTATGTTAGTTGGTGATGGGAAGGGCAGAACGGTCATTGTAGGTAGCAGAAGTAGTAGAGGCGGCTACACCACTTACAAGACTGCCACCGTCGGTAAGATACAATTTTCGATTATTATAAACACTATTTTTATTCTCTATATACGAATGATGTTTAGTTAAATATTAGTTTCGTAAACATATTTTGTGATTTCTATAATTTGCTATATTTGTTAATTAATAAATGGTAAATTTCAAAAAGTTAACAGAATTTATTAAATTATAATTAGTTTAAATTAATTAAAATTTGATAATTACACAAAATTGTTTATAATACAAATTTTCATGTTTTAAAAACGTATGAAAACATAAATATATATATATTTGTTGAAATAAAATGGGATAATTTGAAAAATACCCTATTTATAGTTTAAATTTTGAAATATACATGTCTTCTTTTATTTTTTGAAAACTAAACTTCATTAGATGTGAAAAGACTTTTTTCCCCAGATTAATTATTTTAATTGATAAAATACAAATTCGAAAATAATAATAATATTATTATTTATGTTTAAGATAAATCAAATTTTAAAGTTTTTGTAATGGAATATTCTTCAGTTTATCTTTCTATTTAGTTCTTTTTCTGCTTTTTTAATTAACTCATCAATAACTATGTGTTTTTTTAGCTTGTTCCCGTTTAGATTTTGTATAAGCTAAATACAATCAAAAATTTAACATGCAGCTGAATCACAAAAAAATTATTATGTTATCTATTAATTTTTCACTAATTCTCTATCCAATTCATCTTTTAATGGGTCTTGTGTGTTTCTCTGATATCATTGCATGTGCTTGCGGTAAACTAAAATTGCAGAAATAACTTGTACAATTAAAAACAGAACTTCGTGCTCTATAAGTTGACCACAAAAGGAGAACTAATTTCAGAACAAAACAACAAGCATAGTTAACAATCTTGGAACCCATTCTAAGTTTATAGAGATAATCTAAGAACACAATTGAAGATAACAATCTACGAGTGGAAGGGGAAGATATTAGACAAACATAGAGAATTGACACATTAAAGAGAATATAGAGGAGACGGTTAGTTTTCTTTAGAAATAAATAAATCTTATTCTTGTTGAAGTTATTGATTTAAATATCTAAATAATTATGATGAAAAATATAAGATAATTTCAAATATTAAGATTGGATAATTTAGTCATTTTACATTTATCAAACTTTAGTTTTCAAAAAGTTTAAATAATGGTACAGTTTTCAAATTAAAATCTCAAATAGATGTATTTTTACAAATTTCCCCAAATAAAATTGTATTTGAATTGCAAATAAATAAGAAAACAAATAGAAACTAAAAACTAATATAATTGCAACTAATAAAAGATATATATGTATTTCGATTTAAGATGTTTAGCCGTTTAGAAAAAATAATAATCAAATGAAACAAGTATCTGGTTTTTGTCCTTTTAACATTTTTTTAAAAAATTAAAAGAAATTAAGAAACTTGAAATTTAATCAATTGTTTGGTTCGGTTTACTTTCTTATCAATTTCTTGATAAAGTTTATCAGATTTAGACCTGTTAACTAATTTAGTTTTGTTTTGTCTTTTTAAAAAATTGGAAGCTGCTATGGGAGATGGGTTTATAGCGCGCGACATAACATTCGTGAACAGTGCTGGACCCAGCTCGGAGCAAGCGGTAGCCCTCCGTGTCGGAGCAGATAAATCCGTCGTGTACCGATGCTCCATCGAAGGATACCAAGACTCACTCTACACACACTCCAAGCGACAATTCTACCGAGACACAGACATCACCGGAACCATCGACTTCATATTCGGAAACTCCGCGGTCGTGTTCCAGTCCTGCAACATCGTCGCCCGAAAGCCCTTATCCGGTCAGACAAACTTCGTGACGGCGCAAGGGAGGAGCAACCCGGGTCAGAACACCGGTATCTCGGTACAGAACTGCAAGATCACGGCGCAGTCAACGACTTATCTTGGCCGTCCGTGGAAAGAGTATTCAAGAACGGTGGTGATGCAGTCTTTCCTCGACGGGTTGATTCACCCTTCGGGCTGGTCTCCCTGGTCTGGTGGGTTTGGTCTTAAAACTCTGTTTTATGGGGAGTTTGGTAATTCGGGTCCTGGATCATCGGTTTCGGGTCGGGTTAAATGGGTCGGGTATCATTCTTCTTTAACGGTGAAGGAAGCGGAAGGGTTCACGGTTGCTGGTTTTATTGACGGGGGGATGTGGTTGCCTTCAACGGGCGTTAGTTTCGACTCTGGTCTTGTGAAGTGAGCTTAATTGTAATTAAGCTGGTATATGATAATTATCTTAATTGTGTTATAGTGATCATAATTGAATTATGACTTGTGAGTAAACTGTGTGCAAATTATTCGCTTTCTATTATTTGTTTATCAAAATGTAAGTTAATAGAAGATGCCGAATAAAACTTGTATATGTTGCAGGATTTTTACTACTAATATGTGTGTTATTTCAAAATGTATTTATATACTTTAAAATCGTAGATAGTCGTTTCTGTTTGGTTAGTGACTGCTAATAACTAGATATAAATCTTGTAATTAGTAAGATATAAGAGTTCAACAATGTGTAAAAACTATAATCTTTTGGGAAAGAAACTTGTAGGCTATTGTTGTTGGTAAACTGTAAACCAGAGTCCAGACTGTGTGAACTGAACTATATTGGACCGAAACTATAGGCCGTTGATAAGGGCTAAGCCCATCCAGTAATAGATTTGAAGCTTGCAAATAAACAATGATAAAAGACTTTTGTAAACCGTGCTTGACTTATAAGGCTATATAGCAAGATGTCTTGCCCAACCCAATCATATATGGTGTGTGCCGTTTTTCAAACCAGAAGACAGCAAACACCAGACAGAAAAAATTCACCAAAAGCAACATCCATGACATTGTCCCAATCAAAGGGAGCTTCACAGATTTCCGACCAAGATGTCTGCAGTTTCTGCAGTCGGATCACAACATAATATCGATTAAGAGATGTTAAGAAGTTAAAAAGAGAAGTAAAACATTTGGGAATAATTGAGATTAACTCAATAAAACTGCCATAATTATGTTATGCATACCCTAAAAACAACAGCCACTTAGTTAAATTGATGGGGAAAAAAGCAAACATACATTCAATCTAACTATTCTACACTAGTCTAGTTCTTTTTCTTTTTTTGAACACCACACTAGTCTAGTTCAAAACCACAAGAAAGTTCATGAAATTACATACAAACCATGATGACATGAAGTAGAAAAACACGAGCAGAAAAATGGAGGCTGTTACAATAAAAAATACAGCAGCAGTGACACTTATATCAAGGATCTCCTTCTCTGGGTCATCTTTTCTCGTTCCAGCACTAGAAAGTTCCTGCAGAAAATAAAATTCTAAAATCAATCTTTCTTCTTCAATAAAACATATTGGTAACTGAACACCAAGCAAGGACTTGGATCCATAGTAGACGAGATGAAGAGTTGCGGTCCGTTAAATTTATCTTTATTTTATTATATTTATTGGACGGCCGAGTAATTTTAAATTGAATCCATAGTTGTTATTAGCTTTTGATAAAAGGTCTAATTTAATCACCAGCCAATTTTTTTATTTAATAATAAAACTACGATAGATAAAGTTAACAATTACTAGTATCTGTTTCGATAGTAAAAATGAATATACTTATACAAGCATATCTTATTTTTAAGATATATAATCCTAATTTTTTTGGTTTTTGATTACTGAGCTAATCGTTTGGTCAAACTATTAATTAATTAATTAATAAGATTAAACAAAGAAAAAAGCTCTGTTTTTTTTTTTTGGTTAAAGGAGCACAGATCCATTCAAAGAAACTCCTCTGACGTTTTCTCACACATCTCTCCAAATCTCAAAAGCTCATCTCTTTCTTCCTCTGCAAAACTGTCCTAATCTATCCCCTAATCCAACGTTTTTGTTCTTTTTTTTTGGTCGGAGATCAAGAAAAAACAAAAACAAAGGAAACAAACATGGCAGCTCCTCCTGCCATGAAGATCGTGTTTGGTTTATTGACATTTGTCACTGTCGGAATGATCATAGGTTAACTTTTATCTCTCTCTCTTCTTTCTATTTATAGCCCACTCTATAATTTAATCTTTAAAGCTAACATTTTTATTTCCCGGGCAAGTTATTGCCATTACCGTGACTCTATGTTCTAAATCGGAATGTTTTTTTTTTTAATTATGAAATTTGACTTTCACGAGGAACTGAAACGGCTCTTTGGTAAACTACTCATGGAGATTGTGTTTCTTTTTTCACGGAATCTGCAGGTGCCTTGTTGCAATTGGCCTTTATCAATAGATTGGAAGATTCTAACGGTAACACACCTCTTCCTTTTATTCCTTAGTTTAAATGTCTTTTTTTGATTCCTGGCAATGTCTTGATGTGATTTTAGCTGGAAGGTGATTGCAGTGTGGAAACACACCAATGTGTAGTTTTTTTATGATGTCTTTTAATTTCTCAGTATCTTCTTTATGTTTCAGAAAATGGATTACCATCCCTTAGAGGGCTACGGGGACAAAGCACCCGTTATCTCCGAGGTTACTTTCTGACTATCAGAATCTTTTTACCTTTTGGATAAGACTATTCTTGGCTAGCTGTGAGTTAAGATGATGCTGAAAGTATATAACGATAAAGACTCTTTTATTTTTCAGGTGTATCACGGTGGGCAAATGACAAAGATGCAGAAATGTTGCGGCTTGGCTATGTAAGTCTTATCATATATCCATTTCTGTAAAACTTGGAGTCAGGTTCTGCTTTTGATGATTCCAGGCTGCTAATGTTTATTTTTGCTTTAGTGCAGGTCAAGCCTGAAGTTGTTAGTTGGTCCCCTCGAATTATTGTCCTTCATAACTTCCTCAGCTCCGAGGTAATAATCTACACGGCCCCCTTATATCAGTGTATAGTTTGATTGGGTGGGTTACAATGAGTTAACGAACCATAGAAATACTCTGTTACTTCTATACAGCATGTTATCTAGAGGAACGTATTCAAAGTATGTTAGGCCTTAGATGGAACCTTTATTATCATTGCACTACCATAAGAGTTAGCATAACAGCTTTTTATCATTTTGTCTTTACCTTTTAAACAAGTTTCTTTTGTTTTCCTGATTTGTATATCTTCAGGAATGTGAACACCTCAAAGCTATCGCCAGGCCTCGCCTTCAGGTTTCCACTGTCGTTGATGTTAAAACCGGAAAGGTACTGCTAAATTCTATATTAGAATTCCACAGCTCCATTGTCTCAGTCAAAACACTTTGCTAGCTCTAGTAGAAATGCGTTGAAAGTCTCATTCATTTTCTCTTGTTACTTTCCTCTTGCTTAGGGAGTTAAAAGTGATGTGAGGACAAGCTCTGGAATGTTTCTAAGTCACGTTGAAAGAAGTTATCCAATCATACAAGTAAGTCCACTGACTCTAATGTTTTCAGAAGTTATGTTATTTCAATTTTGATAATGAGATAGATTCCTTTTCCTTTTGCTATCAGGCAATTGAAAAGCGAATCTCAGTGTTTTCTCAAGTACCCGTAGAGAATGGAGAGCTTATTCAAGTCCTAAAGTGCGTCCAGAAGTGCAATCTTACTCCTCTTTAAGTTAAACCAAATGATCTGTTTTCTTGATTTGATTAATCGAAATCTGCTGCAGTGCAGATATGAACCAAACCAGTTTTACAGACCACATCACGATTACTTTTCTGACACTGTAAGTCTTCAGTTACATCTTTCTTTTTATCGTCTTAGAGCAATTAGTTTCTTCAGTTAGTTATCTTGTGTGTACATCATATTCTCTTGCGTTTCTTTATCTTTATGTTTCCAACACAGTTCAATCTGAAGCGCGGTGGTCAGCGTGTAGCAACAATGCTAATGTATTTAACAGATGATGTTGAAGGAGGAGAAACTTATTTCCCTTTGGTATAACTTCTTATTCCTCTTGTGTGTTTCTTCTCTGTGTTATCAAACATTTTTCTAAAAATAGAAACCAATGTATGTATCTTTCTATCTCTTTTCAAATGCAGGCTGGTGATGCTGAATGCACATGTGGTGGCAAAATCATGAAAGGAATCTCAGTGAAACCCACCAAAGGAGACGCAGTTCTCTTCTGGAGCATGGTTTGTTTCTTCAGTCTCTTTCTTGACACAAACATGAATCATGTGGACTGCTTTGTGTGTTCATTTTGGTCTTGTCGCTTTGTGTTATCCAGGGGCTTGATGGACAATCAGATCCAAAGAGCATACATGGGGGATGTGAAGTTCTGTCTGGAGAGAAATGGTCAGCTACTAAATGGATGAGACAAAAAGCTACCTCCTGAGGAGCTTACAAAACTTATAAACTAAAGGAACCACAGTGACTTTATATTGAAAATGTCATAGACTCTCAGATTTTTGATTTACTCTTTTTGACCTTTGAATTTTATAATCTGTCATTTACATACATATTGGATTTGGAGGTGTTATCACTTGTCACCCAACAACGACAAATCTTTGGTTACTATACCAATGTCACATAGACACAAATATATGATTACCTACAAACCTTAGAAAAAGATACAAAACATATATTATGTAATAATATATAGTGAACATAAAACTAAATAATATGAGTAAATAATAAATGAATTATTTTTTATGACAAAAAGTAAATGAATAAATGAATGTTTAGTTTAATAACATTTATTACATATATGTATTATGAAGAATACTTTTTATTATGAAAATAATAAATAATATATCATTTTATATATTTTTTAATTAGTACAATATTTTTGACCATTTTTATCCATTTTCATCCTATATTTTAGACTCTTATATCTGCTTCATCAATTTTTTTTTCCATTTGATCCACTAGATATGCAGTACTTGATTGGTGTTCTACCATTTGGAACCAAAACTTAAAAAATTGTGAGTAGAAAAGAAAATGGTTCTGGGACACATGTATGAACTGTCTTTATTTACACTCTCCATTTAAAAATAAATTGAAGTATAGAAAATTTTACTAAATAAATGCAAATGGTAAATAACCCATTAAGGAGGAGAAATAAATTTCTACATAGGCTTGATTCACTTACTATAATTTGTATACAAGTTTTATATTTATTACATATAAATTATTAAAAATACCTTTAGTTATGTAATAATAAATAATATAATATTTTATATATTGTTAATTAGTACAATATTTTAGATCATTTTATCCATTTTCATCATATATTTTAGACTTTTAGATCCACTTGAACCACACTTGTATCCCTGGATCCTCTTGATTAATTTTGTTTTTCATTTGCTAGATCTGCAGTGCTTAATTAATCCATTTTTTCGATTTGGAACCAAACCTACAAAAAATGTTAAATGAAGAAAAAATGGTTTATACGGTATACATGTATGAGTTGCCTTTATTTTTTTTTGATAAAAAAAATTTTCTTTATTTTTTTTTGATTAAAAAATGAGATAATTTGCTAGCGTATCTCTTTTTTGACCCATAATTAGAGACTTGCCCAAGATGTGACAATCACTTTCCTTTGAACCATTTTACCCTTCTCTACACTCTCTCTCCTCTCTTTGACATTTTCCTTTTTTTTCTCTTCAATCCCTTATTATTTTACAAATCTCTATCATTCTATATACAATTAAATTTTAAATTTCATTATTTTTTCATAAGTGGCTTTGAATCCTCAATTTTTTGACCTTTTTTCTCTCTCTTCATTCCCTAATTATTTTACAAATCTCTATCATTCTATATACAATTAAATTTTAAATTTCATTATTTTTTCATAAATGACTTTGAATCCTCAATTTTTTGATGATATCAATTTTCTGGGTTTTAGATTCGACGTCGTGTTAGCGGTTAACAAAGATTGTAGACGTTAACAGCGTTAGTTGTTAACAATTATTTTTATGTTTCGCGTTAATAAATGTGTTCGCTGTTAACAAATATTGTAGATGTTAACAGAAGTGTTAACTGTTAACAATTATTTTTATGCTTCGCGGTAATAAATGTATTGGCTGTTAACAAATATTGTAGACGTTAACAGAACTGTTATATGTTAAGAAATGTTTTTACGCTTCGTATTAATGAGAGGAAAGATAAAGGGCATTCTCGGCATATTCTTGCCAAATGGTTGTGTTTGTGTCCTTCATGGTTGTGACTGTGTCATTCATGTCCAATCAATGGTATTTTGTTAATTTGAACTTCAAATATGGGTAGTTCACTAAATCTCTCTTAAAAAATTGCCTTTATTTACACTCTCTACTCGAACAATAAATAAATCTATATTATAATAGTACACTTTCTAGGCTCCACAACGCGCCACGTCAGCAGTTTTGTGGGTCCCCTAGGTATTTTTAAAAAAGTTATAGTCTTGGTAAGATGATTACAAACAATGAAATACACTTTAGCCAAGTGGTATAAGGTGTTGAATTAAACATGCAAGATCGTGGGTTCAAACCACGCATCCATCATT